GCCACTCTTCAATTACCGCCGTTTTGAGCGCTTGGCGGTTTTTGTGATGCCTTTTAGCAACTTTTTCTTAAGTAAGGCCCACAAATTTTCTATAGAACTAAGGTCGGGGCTTTGGGCTGGTGTATCAATCACCTTACCGGTATTATAAAGGAGCCAGTTCTTAACATTGTGCTCTTTATGTTTTGAATCATTATCCTGGTAAAATTTAAAAGTCGGCTTTTCATCGGCATAAAAGCCAAATTTTTTTGGACTTGGTGTTAAATGCGTCTTTAAAATGCGCACATACTGCGCAGCATTCATGGTGTTTTCTATAAACGCAATTTCTCCGACCCTTTTGCTGCTGATGCATCCCCAAATCATGACCTACAATTTTCCAAATTTTGGAATTAAATTTCGGTTCTCGGTGCACCATACCTTTGTCGGTCCATCGTTGTAGTATAACATTATCATTGTCTCATCGCAAAAGATTACATCATCCCTATATTCTTGCGGCTGTCTCGTCATGTTTTGAATTTAGGCCGCTTTTCAATATTTTCTGGAGACAGCATAGGTTTTTTTCGTGCAACTCTGGATGAATACTTTTGCCTCATAACAAATGGGCGCGCCGTTTCATGCGAAACATCTACGCCACACTCTTCCTGTAGCTCCTTAGAAGGTGTTCTCGTCGAAATAAGTGGATTTTGGTAAACCTTTCTCATAATAATTCGATCTACTCGGGTTCCAATCTTCATTTTACGGCCGCCTCCGTTCTTTGGTTCCAGCCTTCGTTTTTTGCGCGATCTAACACATTATAAATAGTTTTAATCTCTTTCCAGGTATGGTCTAAATCTCAAAATAGTCTTTTTATACCTTTGCAGAGGGTATTATAATTTTGTCCAAAAGTGTGCAACGCAGTGAAGGAGACATCTCCGACCCTATAAAGTATATATATTCTTGATCAGGATCACCTCCTGAGTTGATATGAGCATGTCCGTCTGTCCGTCTGTCCGTCTGTCTGTCTGTCTGTCTGTCCGTTTCTACGCGAACTAGTCTCTCAGTTTTAAAGCTATCGACTTGAAACTTTGCACACACCCTTCTTTCCTTTGCACGCAGTATATAAGTCGGAACGGCCCGGATCGGCCGACTATATCCTATAGCTGCCATATAACTGATTGATCGGAAATGGTATAACTTTGGTGTTTTTAGAGTTAGAGAGTTCAAATTTGACATGAGAGCTATTTTTGGCAAAACATTACGTCATGCCAAATTTCATAAAGATCGGCCGACTATATCTTATAGCTGCCATATAACTGAACGATCGGAAATGGTATTTGGTAGAAATATCAACTTTCGTATTTTTGAAGATAGAAGTTTGGGACTTTTTTTAGATTTTGTATTGTAATAAATTGGATTATATATTCCTATTCCCATAAGGATCGGCCAACTATATCCGATGTTTGCGATATATATCCGGTTTTAACTGCAAGGGTATATAAACTTCGGCTCCGCCCGAAGTTAGCTTTCCTTTCTTGTTTTTTATTTTTTCGACGCTGCAGAAATTTTATCCAGTTTGCTTCATTTGTTTTAAAAATTGGTTTCTTTTTGTTGATAATGGTGTCGATCGGAAAGAGTGTAATGAGGATTGGAAAATGATCACTTCCATGAAGGTCATCTATCGGGTTCCAGGTTGTGAGCGGTGTGAGTGAAGGAGAACAGAAGCTAAGGTCTATGTGGGTAAAAGTGTTGTGTGTAGTAAAGTGTGTTGGTGATTTATTGTTTAAAAGGGTAAGTTGTGATTGTTCGATAAACTTTGCCATTATCTTGCCTCTTGTGTTCGATTGTGGGGACCCCCAGTTTTGATGCCAGCTATTAAAATCTCCTGTTATCATGACTAATTCGTTGTTGATGTTCAGTACGTTGTTTAGATTATTGCGTGAAAAAGATTTGTTGGGTGAGTTCATTTCTTCATCATCATAGAGGTCGTAAGTTATGGAGGTTCGACTTGTTGCTTTAGCCTGTTCGAATTCTTTGTCTAAATCTTTGAGTATATTTTCTATTGTTATACCCTTGCAGAGGGTATTATAATTTTGGTCAAAAGTGTGCAACGCAGTGAAGGAGACATCTCAGACCCTATAAAGTATATATATTCTTGATCAGGATCACCTCCTGAGTTGATATGAGCATGTCCGTCTGTCCGTCTGTCTGTCCGTCTGTCTGTCCGTCTGTCTGTTTCTACGCGAACTAGTCTCTCAGTTTTAAAGCTATCGTCTTGAAACTTTGCACACACCCTTCTTTCCTTTGCACGCAGTTTATAAGTCGGAACGGCCCGGATCGGCCGACTATATCCTATAGCTGTCATATAACTGATTGATCGGAAATGGTATAACTTTTGTGTTTTTAGAGTTAGAGAGTTCAAATTTGACATGAGAGCTATTTTTGGCAAAACATTATGACTTGCCAAATTTCATAAGGATCGGCCGACTATATCCTATAGCTGCCATATAACTGAAAGATCGGAAATGGTATTTGGTAGAAATATCAACTTTCGTATTTTCGAAGATAGAAGTTTGGGACTTTTTTTAGATTTTGTATTGTAATAAATTGGATTATATATTCCTATTCCCATAAGGATCGGCCAACTATATCCGATGTTTGCGATATATATCCGGTTTTAACTGCAAGGGTATATAAACTTCGGCTCCGCCCGAAGTTAGCTTTCCTTTCTTGTTAGATTTTTTATTGTAATTAATTGGTTTTATTGTGATGTAATCATAAGGATCGGCCAACTATATCCGATGTTTGCGATATATATCCGGTTTTAGCTGCAAGGGTATATCAACTTCGGCTCCGCCCGAAGTTAGCTTTGCTTTCTTGTTCTTGAGTTACAGTTGTTTTCTTCTTTGTTTTCGATTTGGGGTTCTTTTGCTTTAGAGGGGCTTACTGTTGGTGTTGAGTTTTTGAGGGTTTCGGAGTAAGATGTTTCTTGGGTTGGGTTGTGGCGTTTATAGTATATAGAACGGGCGGTTTTGTGGTCTATCTTTTCGGTGATCCTGATGGCTATAAGCTCCTGTTCCTAAATGAAAAATGGGCATTTTCTGTCCATGGAGGAGTGGTTGTTTTTGCAGTTAATGCATTTCGGTGCCAGTCTACATTCAATATTATCGTTTGTGTGTGTGGTTTTATAGCAGTTTTTGCATGTATCTTGTTTGCAGTATGTTTGAGGGTGGTTGAAACGAAGACATTTTCTGCATTGCATTGGGCGTGGTATGTATGGGCGAGTGAACACGACTTCGTAGCCGATCAGTACCTTTTCTGGGAGATTGGTTGAGGCAAAAGTTAGTGTAATAAGACCTGTTTGAATTCGTTTTTGGTCAACCAATTTTGTCCATTTGTAGACTTCAGAAACTTTTTGGGATCTTAGCTCGAATAGAATTTCTTCTTCAGGCTCTTGTGTTCGTTCGCTTCTACGTCTATTTCACCAATTTTTTTAATTTTAAGAAGTTTGTCGGCTTGTTGGATGTTTTTTGTTTTCACTAGTAGTGTTCCTGCTTTTGTTAGTTTGCATTTTTCAACTTCACCTCCACAGATGTAATCAACTGATTTTTTTATAATGAACGGGTTTGCAGTTTCTAGGGATATATTGTCTTTTCTTTTTATATTTATATATTTTTGTTTGTTAATTGTGCTTGAGTTTTTGGAAAAAAGTTTATTTTTGTCTGGCGGTAACATATTGGTGTTTTCGGGGCGAACCCCTGCTTGTGGTTGTTGTGATCACGTGTTGTTAGTTGTTTTCAAATTTTATTTATTTTTGTGTGTCTCTTTTGTTCACTTGTTTGTTTTTCGAAAAGTTTGCTGATAAGCACTTGTCGCTGGTGATTTTAGATTGTCGCAGTTGCGCGTCTTTACTCAAAGAGGTCTGGAGTGGAACTGGGTATTGAATCTTGCTGTAGACATTGTTGGGTCGGTATTAATTTTTAAATCAAATTCTTTAAGGAGAAATTGTGTCAGTGGCTCTGATTTTGTATCAGAAAAGTGAATGTTGAAGTCACCGGCCAAAATTAGGGGAATTTCATACAAATTTGTAGTACTATATCTCCGAAGAAGTCGAGAACCTTCTTTTCATGAGCATGAGCAGTGGAGAAACGCTCGACTGTGGAGAGCGAGAGAGTGGAAAAATGGTTATATTCTCTCACTCTACGAAGAAGAAGCAGACAGATAGCCGTTTAACGTTACGTTACGGTTTTTCTCGGTAATTCTTCAAATTTAAATCCTTTTAGTTCACAAATAAAGATATTAAACAAGAATGGACCCACTCACAATTTAACTAACCTTTATAACTGCGCTTGGTCAAAATAAAAACAACAACAAACCTGACCAGGGAAGCAGACTAAAAATTCTATAACTCCTCTAAAAATTATCCGATGTGACTGTTTGTATGGGAAAAGATATATATGCATATGGGTATATCTCCTCCAAAAATCGGAAGAGGGTTGAAATTTTTTTTCAGATATTTATTAAATATTTCTATAGTTTGGCATCAAAAGTTTTTCAAAAAACCATTCTGTACTGGCGCTACAGAAGTTCATGATTTGTGGGGCATGAAAAAATTTTTAAACAAACTGGAACTGCGCTGGTATTGTAGGAGTCTTCATGCCAAATCCTTTAGCTCTATCTCGTATAGTCTCTGAGATCCACGCATTCATACGGACGGACGAACATACGGACATGGCTATATCGACTCGGCTGTTGATGCTTATCACGAATACATATATATATATACTTAAAATAGTCGAAGATGATTCCTTCTGTATTTTACATACATTCACACAACTGTAATATACATACCCTTGTACTATACGAGTACCGGGTATAAAAAGGTAACGAGGTAGTCATTGCCTGGCCACTCAACCCTAAGAAGCTGTGGCTTTCTGATCAGACCTCAGTCGTTTCGAAACCTTACGGAAGTGTCATCAGAAAATACGTAGCCATTCATAATAAAAAAGAATCAAAGAAACAAAAAACTATAAAACACATTTAAAACTATAATGGAAAAACCCGAACCCAAAGAGTCATCAAAGGGTGTCGATTTAAAAGTGATGCGGACCGAGTTTGAGTTGTACCACATAATTAGCTGCGGTCACTTCAAACGGCGGTTGCTGGAGCGCTGCCGCAATGCCAACATATCCGGGTACGTGATGTATAAGAACAACGGACGCATCGCATGTGGTGTGATGGAGGGCCTACCGGAGGACATCAACCAATTGAAGCTATGGATCTCCACCCGTTTTATTCCAGAGCTCTTTGTTAAACGCTCCACTTTCTCGGCCTATGAGATTTGCTTCAACCCTGATAGACAGGAGTTCTGCGAGAGAACCTCTGTTCCGGACAAGGAGCCGCTTCTGGCCGATATGTACGAAAAAGATATTGTGAATCCGGAAGAAAGAGCCAAGCAACAGGCCAAGGCCGAGGCAGAGGCAGAAGGATCGAACTCGTTCGACTCGCACGATGAAACAGTGACCGGATCCGTAGGTGGTTTCGATTCACATTAAATCATACTTTTCACTTGTCGACGCTTTTCTCACTGTTATAATTAAAATTTGTAGAATTGTCTTCCTGTTGTGCATAATAGGAATTCACTGATATACGGAAAAGCTAAGATAAATGTTTTTTTTTGAGAAAGCACTACAGAAACGGGAGCTCATGGGAGCTCTCATGTCCTCTCTAACTCTAATTCTAAAGGTATACCAGTTCCTATCAATCAGCTATAAAATCAATAAGGAATACTGCAGGAGAAACTCTCGTTGAACTACGAGCTAGTTTGCAAGACAGTTTAACGGACAGCTGCTTAAATGCTGGCAGTTAAACTAGATGGGCTCCCACAAGCTGCATCACAATTTTTACTGCAACGTCCTCGATCTCATCTCAAATGACGTTCACAAAAAGCTTGAATGGCAGTTTGTGTTCCGCTGCATCCATTACGTGGCATGATCCTGCTTCTACTAGCACGCCATCATTCAACCCCATCCCAGGCAGTCACCGCAAAGCCAAACAAAGGAGCAGCAAACAAAGGAGACCAGGTACCGTTCTCTCTCCCAAGGTTAGCCAAAAGAAGACAAGCTATACCGCCAAATCTGGAAACTGCTTAGGGTTAAGCGACGAGGAAGAAATGGTCGTCGGGCCTTCCGCTTCGCAAGCCGTGACGAACCGCGCCACAACGAAGTGCGACGCAACTTTGCTGCCGGCAAAATTCAACATCTCAGGACAAGCCCAAACAGCAAGCCGCTCGATCTTCCAAGGTCCCAAGGATGATGGTTCCTGGTGTGATCAGCTACTCTGCTTTCTTCAGTCAGCTGGATGCTCTTATTGGAGACTCTTACTTCATCAAAGCGCTAAACTCAGGTGACTGTGCCGTTCAGTGGAACTCCTCCAACGCATACAGGCTTGTTGCCAAACACTTCCGCGAAAAAGGGACTGTTTTTCACCACCACCAGCTGCCAGAAGACCGACCCTTTCGCATAGTAATGAGGAACATTCATCATGACGTCCCATCGGAGGACATTATTGAGTGCTTGCAGACACTGCGTTCTGCGCATCTATACCCTTCGTAATAAAGAAACACAGCTTCCGCTTAACATGAGGTTTGTGGAGATTAAGAAGGCTGACAACAACAAGCTTATTAAGAACATCTCTGCTGTTTGCAGACACATAGTGACCTGGGAGAAGCCACGCAAGCAATAAGGTCCTGTACAATGCCAATACTGAGCAAAGGCTGTAAGGCACTTTTCTCCGCTATTGGTGCAATTTGAATTTTTTTTAGATAACCTCACTTTCTCCAAAAGCCGACTTGGTCGCTGCTTGGAACAGCGAAAGGGGCCGGGCTGAGCATCAAATGGCTGTACAATGTTTTTTTTTAACGCCATGCAAATAACAATGTGGATAATGCCGTTTTGAAAAAAAGCCACCAGTTTTTAATGGAAGTAATGGAAAATACGGTGCTTTCAGTCGGCTATTTTGGAGAAGAAGCGTCTGAGTCCTGAAACAAGCTGTATAAATCAGACAGGCGCCACCATTCAAGAAAGCACAACCGATTACATTCCTTCGCTGATGTGTTCAACAGAGCTATGGATACATCAGATCCAATTATTTCGTCCTTAATTTGTCGAGATGAATAAAAAACTAAACAGTCTTTTACTTCCAATTGAGGTAATTGAGATGCTTTCGTGCGAATACGAAAAGATTGTTTGTCTCGAAGATAACGAATTTAACGATTCCAGCTTGTTTTTTTTAGATAATATTGATATATTATAGAAAACGAAATAAATGAATAATAAGATTAATACTACTCTATGAAGGAATTTTTCATTTTAACTTTTATATGCATTTGTATGGAAGAACACTGAAATCCGGTATTTTAAACTGATAGTTCCCAGGGAAAGCGTTATCCTATTTGGTTTAAAATTACTATATCGTATTAAAGTAGCAACAAATATCAGCTCCTTAAATTTCATTAATTTATCTTTACTTTTACCAAAACGTTCCTATGGGAGCTATAGGATATAGTTTCCTGAGCCGATCGATTTTCATACTATATGTGCCTAGGATCAAATAATAACGATTGGTAAAGTTTCATGTCGATATCTCACAAACTGACCAAGTTATTGATAAATGCCACAAAAACAAGTCAAAAACCCTATAGTGCATTGGTATTGATAGTCTTGATAGTGGTGGTGGAGTTTGTTGTTTTGTTGGTATTCGTATTTGGACCCACGTGTTTCGGCCTTCCCCTCATATGTATCAACTTGCACACACCCTTTATTCCTTTGCACGGAGTATGTAAGTCGGAACGGCCGGGATCGGCCGACTTATCCTATAGCTGCCATATAACTGATTGATCGGAAATGGTATAACTTCGGTGTTTTTAGAGATAGAGAGTCAAATTTTATACGAGAGCTATAGCTGACATATAACTGAACGATCGAAAATGGTTTTTGGTAGAAATACCAACTTTGATATTTTTGAAGATAGAAGTTTGGGACAACTTTATCCGATATTTGCGATAAATATCCGGTTTTAACTGCAAGGGTATATCAACTCCGGCTCCGCCCGAAGTTAGCTTTTCTTTCTTGTTTTGATATTTTATTGTAATTAATTGGTTTTATTATGATACTCTCATAAGGATCGGACAACTATATTCGATGTTTGCGATATATATCCGGTTTAAGATGCAAGGGTACATTAACTTCGGCTCCGTCCAAAGAAAGCTTTTTTTTCTTGTTTATCATCACATTTTCGGAAACAGTTACAAAAATTTATTCTACACTGCGAAAATTTTTACAGAACTTAATCATCGAATGCCAGAAATGGGGATACAAAAAAAAAAAATGTAATTATAGTTAAAACAAGAAAGGAAAGCTAACTTCGGGCGGAGCCGAAGTTGATATACCCTTGCAGTTAAAACCGAATATATATCGCAAAAATCGGATATAGTTGTCCGATCCTTATGAGAATATGATAATATAACTCAAGTTATTATTATATAGAATCTAAAAAAAGTCCCAAACTTCTATCTTCAAAAATACCAAAGATGGTATTTCTACCAACAACCATTTCCGATCGTTCAGTTATATGGCAGCTATAAGATCAGCCGGTCGTTATAAAATTTGGTAGGTTGGATTAACTGACCAAAAATATAATCTGTACCAAGTTCCAGCTTTCTATATTCAAAAACACAAAAGTTGGGTCAAAAGTCCGATCGTTCGTATGGCAGCTATAGGGTATAGTCGGCCGATCCTTATGAAATTTGGTAGGTCTGATTATCTGACCAAAAGTAGTATTTGTACGAAGTTTAATTTTTCTATCTTCAAAAACACGAAAGTTGGGTCATTTCCGATCGTTCATTTATATGGCAGCTATAAGATATAGTCGGCCGATCCTTATGAAATTTGGCATGTCGTAATGTTTTGCCAAAAATAGCTCTCGTGTCAAATTTGACACGACTCTCTAACTCTAAAAACACTAAAGTTATACCATTTCTGATCAATCAGTTATATGGCAGCTATAGGATATAGTCGGCCGATCCGGGCCGTTCCGACTTATATACTGCGTGAAAGGAAAGAAGGGTGTGTGCAAAGTTTCAAGACGATAGCTTCAAAACTGAGAGACTAGTTCGCGTAGAAACGGACAGACAGACGGACAGACGGACCGACGGACAGACGGACATGCTCATATCAACTCAGGAGGTGATCCTGATCATGAATATATATTCCATGTAGGGTCGGAGATGTCTCCTTCACTGCGTTGCACACTTTTGGACAAAATTATAATACCCTCTGCAAGGGTATAAAAAGTTTTTGTTTGCAAACATACCCAAAAATAATAAAAATCTGCATACACTGGAAGAAACTGTAAAATCTTCAATTGAAATTTCAAAGAAAATATTTTATTCCTCATGATGAATTATCGCCTTAAGATTCGACCTTAAAATTGGCCAAAAAAATATACAATATATTAAATTTTCAATAAAGTATCAATACAGCATCCATAATAATCTTAATACAGTCAAGAAATAGTTTACACACTGACAATCAATTTTATTTTTTGACTTTACATGTAAAATGAAACACCTTCTATTCAGTTTTTTTTTAATTTTTTTTAATGCTAAACGATTATTATGATTTTTCTTAATTTCTAAATACAAAAACAACAATTCAAAATAACATGAAGGAATAATATAAAAGATTACAAATTTTTTAATCTGTCAAGAAACTCTTTACCCAAAATATAAATTCTTTGTTTATATCAAAATTTTAAGGCACTTATATTAGCTTAATCTAAATTTAATATTTTGTATGACCTCCCTTGCATTTAGTACAAGCTGGGTACGTTTTTTCATAGATTTTTTCATAGATTAGAGCTAATGGTAGCTTTTGCCACTCTTCAATTACCGCCGTTTTGAGCGCTTGGCGGTTTTTGTGATGCCTTTTAGCAACTTTTTTCTTAAGTAAGGCCCACAAATTTTCTATAGAACTAAGGTCGGGGCTTTGGGCTGGTGTATCAATCACCTTACCGGTATTATAAAGGAGCCAGTTCTTAACATTGTGCTCTTTATGTTTTGAATCATTATCCTGGTAAAATTTAAAAGTCGGGTTTTCATCGGCATAAAAGCCAAATTTTTTTGGACTTGGTGTTAAATGCGTCTTTAAAATGCGCACATACTGCGCAGCATTCATGGTGTTTTCTATAAACGCAATTTCTCCGACCCTTTTGCTGCTGATGCATCCCCAAATCATGACCTACAATTTTCCAAATTTTGGAATTAAATTTCGGTTCTCGAGGGCTGTTAGTGCCTTGCGCCATACCTTTGTCGGTCCATCGTTGTAGTATAACATTATCATTGTCTCATCGCAAAAGATTACATCATCCCTATATTCTTGCGGCTGTCTCGTCATGTTTTGAATTTAGGCCGCTTTTCAATATTTTCTGGAGACAGCATAGGTTTTTTTCGTGCAACTCTGGATGAATACTTTTGCCTCATAATAAATTCGCCCAC